GGCTTTGTTTGTTCAATCACCAGTTAAATCTCATACAGTAATAATGATTGATTTGGCTAAAGCTTAGTTTAACATCCTGGTGAAACATTATGGGATATGTTCACTTCTAAGGGTAAACAAATTGATTAAAATGGATTATTGTTATTATTATTGATTAATTTGGAATATTAATTAAAAAGGCCGTTATCTGCAGGTTCACTTAGGAATGCCTTGCATGAACATTTGTCAGGCTTTGTGTTTCCTAGGGGCAGTACATTAATGAAGTTTATTGATAATTTGTTTGTTTAAACATCTGAAGAAAATTGTGCTGCGAACACGGGAAAAACTGTGTTGCATTGTTTGACATCAACACAATGATGTCACTGATTAAAAACTCCAGCTGGTAGAATATCAAAGTGCACTACTATAGGACATGAGATCTCGAGACTGACTTAGACTTTGCAAAGACTGAATGAATGTGAATTGATTTGTCAATTCCTGACTGTTACAGTAACACTGACCCACCGACAAGGTGATTTTATTTTGGGATGCACACAATGCTTTTGGCAATGGTTTTCTGACTATGCCATTGTTGAACCATTGTGAGACATGACGCATGAACTTTGTCTGACTCTGCATGATCCCTGCATGGCTTGATGACTATGTAGCTTGATTTTTAACATTGTTGATTCTTTTTGACAGGAGAACGTTTTTTTCCTTTGTTTTAGGTGTTCCTGATGATGAGTCATAGGACTTTGAAATAACATTGTATGTGAAGATGGGTACTCTGAAGTGTCTTATTTGGGAAACATGGTCTCTATGGGTTGGAGGACAATGTTTCCAGGAGGGGTATAATGGGTTTATTGTTCAATTTAGTAATTTAATTTCAAGATGTATTTGATAATATTTTGTTTCCATCCCAGTTGAAATCTTTCATTATTTCTTCTGTGACACATTGGTTTCAGATTTCTTTGAATCTTGTCACGTGAATCTTTGAACCCTCACATGATCCAGAGGGCAAATGAAACTTGTCGCCTAAAAAAACTTTTTCCTACATGGTTAAGGTCTCGATTGGGTTCTGCTAAGACGTATGATTAAATGTATTGTTCGAAGTTGAGATCTGATTGGTTTCAGCACCGTGGCTGAACAATGTTGCAGGAGATGTTTGTTGTGTGTTTAGGAAATTGTGGGTAAGTAAAAACACAACACAAACAACATTTCATGGTTTCAAGAAGTTTAAAAATGATAGATAAGACTCTAAGACCTAGTGGTCGACTGTAGGCTGTTAACCCAGAATGCAAGTGCTATTTTCTACCCAGGCCAAAGCTGTTTTTCCCTTGCAATCTTGAGGAGGGAAGATGGATCATTCTGAGGCAGACTGGAGTGTCAATGAAGGCAGCTGGATGACTTCCAGCTATTCTTCTACTGCTATTGTCTTATGGGTTTGGGTCAACACGAAGTACAAAACCCAAAACTTCTGAGATGATTTACAGCCAAGTATATTAGTAATCTCAACACTCCAGAGAACATATAGAAGATCTACCGTTAACTGTTCTTTTACTGAAGTCTCAGTTTTTCTGACTACAGTTCCGTCCAATTCAAATGGTAATGATGTTGCTTCAGATGTCATCAAGGGATTTTGCTATGAGATGGGACATTACAGCATGAAGGCTAAGATAGATATTCCATCTAAAGGCTACGCATGGAGATCGGAACGTGCACATCCTGAAGAAGTGATTACTGGACAATATAACAGAAGTAGAAAAGGATGGACGCCAGTTACATCTTGCTATAAGTGTTTTGGAAGATTTTTCATTATGTATAATCAAGTATTAATTGTATGTTGCTTTGTTATTAGGCTATGTATGTAAGTTTGTTAAACTTGAATGGGACAAATTGATTTTTTCCTCTTAAACATACTGAGGTTTTTAAATGATTTTCCATTTAAGTAGAGTAGGATTAGCGCAATTGTCTTTTCTTCCACTTTTTGTGTTATAATCAAAAAGGTGTTTTTTTGGCTATTGTGAGTAGGTACAGTACATGTGACCTGTGACTTCTGCCTTAAGTAAAATGATTACCCATCGATAAATATTTTTCAGAAAGTCATTTTGGGCTTTCGAGGGCGGAACTCAGTAGGTTACTTGTAATAATAATCTTTTTTGATTAAGTGATCTTAATTAATAAAAGGAGGGAGTGTTATGGCAGAATGTTTAATACAGCGTATTTATGATATTCATTAATGATCACATGGTATTCCATATGATGTGTGTTACTGAGTTGGGTCACACACAGTTAGAGAGACAATGGTCGTTCTGAATTATCAATAGATGTATTCATTTTAAGTGAGCTGACACCAAGGGTATAGGAAGTTCAGAGAAGGCCTCGGGTTATAAAAACAGTTAACCTTTGTTAGTTAACTAATCCTAAGGATATCATGAGATGATGACGTTTAAACATATACAGGTATAGCTTTCAGAGAGAAAAACATGTGACATTTGTGTGGTTGGCTGCATGATAAAATGTGCGTGCGTTAAACATGTTTGGGGAACATGTTCGTGTGTCATTTAGAAAAGTATATCTAGGCCTGTGTTTCTTCTGTTCTTGGGGGCATTTCCACGATTGGCTGCTGTGGCAGCAGGTGATGTACTTCCCATTATTGTTTGTTTGTTGCAACAACTAAATAATAATTACTTATCAGCTATATCTGTGTTTGTGTTTTATTGATTCCTCTCTGTTTCATTCTTTCCTGTTGTGTTATGCTGGATATCTCCACAACATTTCCTATATACATACTGTAAATAGGGAACATATACAGTAACTATAGGGAACATATACAGCAATCTATATAACTAGATTGCTGTATATGTTCCCTACATAATTGTATATCGGGAACATATAGCTATAGGGAACATGTATAGTTATCCGACTCTAATGTCTGATGCCTTTGTTTTAAGTAAATGCCCAAAATCACAAGCTTCTGCCTCCAGTCTCTTCCTTGAGATATCCAGAAATTATACAAAATAAACAACAATAGCTGTTGTTGTTTATAACTATAGGGAACATATACAGCTAGATATTTAACTAGCTAGTTGTATGTGTTCCCTTTATAATTCTATATAGCGAACATTCAGTTCTTGTCTCATAGTGCCTTCAATTAGGAGGAAATCAACAGATCCGGGTTATACATATATATATGTGTGTGTGTGTGTGTGTGTGTGTGTGTGTGTGTGTGTGTGTGTGTGTGTGTGTGTGTGTGTGTGTGTGTGTGTGTGTGTGTGTGTGTGTGTGTGTGTGTGTTTCCCCCCCACATACCTCACATATTTACGTCATTGATTGCGTTTCAAACCAACAAGTGAGTTGTAAGTCTTGTGTGTTTTTCACGTTCAGCTCAAAGGGACTTCCCGGGGGAAAGACCTCCAACATGTGGCTCTTCAGGAGTAAGGACTCCACATTAAGACGACTTTTACTATGTTTGATCTTCCCATTTAAAGCGGGGGAGTTGAAGCTAAAGGAATATAACAAAGCAGAGAAACTCCAGTAAACCAGACGCTGTGTTTGTTTCTACAGTAAAGAAGGGAGGTGTGTTTTAACCTCACAACAATAAAGAGCTTTTAAAGAGATGAAAAGTGTCTGTGTGTTATTTTGGGTCTCATTAAGAGAAACCACAGACAGCGTAGAGGACATTAAACACGAGTTGGGATGCAGAGTCATCATGTCGCTCTGATTCGTCCCGTCAAAACATTCAAATGTTATTTCCAAAGCAGCTCCTGTGATTGTCAGAAGTCTATTTTTGAGTCTGATTCAAAACAGGCAGAAAAAATAGACGAATCACAGATTTCTGTTCATGTCTAATCTGTTTGGAAAATGAAAACTAGTCCTGTGCAAAAGGAGATTTAGTCTTTAATATGAAGTCATTTTATCTAGATGTCTTTCCGCTCTTTCAAAAGCAAAAAAATACCTCCACAAATATGAGATTTCCATTCAAACGTGACTAATTTTTCTGCGTTATGCAACCTATGGGAGGTCAACTGTTGTGTACAGACAACCACTGCATTTATTACTGGTTGTAACTGTGCAAAGAGGGCTTTATTCTTAACCTGTTTTTCAGGTCTCAGGCTCGAAAATGACACGCCCAGAACAAATGACCATAACTTCACTTCTAAAAGGGGTAAATTAATAATCTTTTTTCTCAAAGCAAGGTTACATCTGTGAGTTGGATGTAGAAGTGTCAGAATCAATATAGATGTTTTTATTTTAAAGTGAATTCAGATTGAACATAGTAAAAAAAATGTAAATGATAGTGTCCGTCCAAAAAAACAACATGACTTATAGTGAAAACTACCCTTGGATGATGGGATAGTAGACTAAAAGCTTTAGGAATCTAAACTATAACATATAATAAGTACCCTGTATCAAGATTGATGCAAAACAAGTGACATTTGACCTTTTTAGAGAGATTTAGAAAAAAAAACCCACTTCTGGGGTCATTTGGGTGGATTTTCCATATCTCTGGCCCCCCTTGCTCGATTTTGATGGTTGACACCTCTTTTTAACCGTTAGAGCCAATAGAATCGAGGGGAAGTTCCTAAAATCCATCTAAACATTACCCATTGGTGAATGAGTGATGCACAGCCAGAATGCCCCGGAACCGGAAGCTGCGATACACTCTGGTGGCAGCTAATATGAAATCTCCGTTATTGACATAAATATGGAATGATGGATTATCAGGAATCATTTCAAAGTGACACAGACACATTGGATTAACCTTCAGCAGCGTTTTTATCGTTTTGATGCCATGTAGAGAGTAGTTATAATTAGACGTTTTCACATATTTGCTTATTTTTCTTACCAGGATGTTCTTATTTGTTTTTTATTAATGTGTGCTAGCTTTTTTATAGTCTACTCTTTCTACTTGAATGTGTCCTGTACCTCTGCTAGCGTACATTAACCCTCTGTGGGACAAAATAAGGGATTTCTCATCCAAACAAACAGTTGGTTGTGATGCAGAGTGATTTGTTTACCTCTTAGTTTTTTCTGTCTGGGAACTCTGGGGGTTTCCTCTCTTCACCGCGGGGTCCGAGGGTCCAAGGTGACGGAAACGGCGTTTTCGACACGGGGCGACGTCCGTGATGTCCTTCAGGCTGTCGTCCAACTCTGAGGGGACACATCAGTCAGGGGCAGTGATGGGAATTAGTGGAGTACAAATACTTCGTTACTGTACTTAAGTACATTTTTCTGGTATCAGTACTTTACTCCACTACTAATTTTTCTGAAGACTTTTTACTTTGACTTCTTACATGTTGAACACAAATACCTGTACTTTCTACTTCTTACATGTTGAACACAAATACCTGTACTTTCTACTTCTTACATGTTGAACACAAATACCTGTACTTTCTACTTCTTACATGTTGAACCCAAATACCTGTACTTTCTACTTTTTACATGTTGAACTCAAATACCTGTACTTTCTACTTTTTACATGTTGAACTCAAATACCTGTACTTTCTACTTCTTACATGTTGAACACAAATACCTGTACTTTCTACTTCTTACATGTTGAACCCAAATACCTGTACTTTCTACTTTTTACATGTTGAACTCAAATACCTGTACTTTCTACTTCTTACATGTTGAACCCAAATACCTGTACTTTCTACTTCTTACATGTTGAACCCAAATACCTGTACTTTCTACTTCTTACATGTTGAACACAAATACCTGTACTTTCTACTTCTCACATTTCCCAAACAGGCTGGTTCCTTTAGTTTGAATGTGTGTTTGGTGGCGTGATCATTATTATTTAGAGTCATTGCGTGCCTATTGATTTGAACACGATCCGTGTATCCATCATTTCCTGGTCTTCTCTAAAGAAGAGGGACCAATGGAAACGTTGTCATGTTGCCGTTGTTCAGCATGGAAACATTCATTAGCTAACAATGACATTATTGTTCTATTAATATAAAGGGAGGTCAGGTACTCTTTAAAACAGCTGCTAGTTATGGGTACTTTTTACTGAAGAACATTTCAAAGCCTCTTTACTTTGACTTGAGTAAAGAAGTTTAGTCAGTACTTCTACTTTCACCAGAGTATTTTTAAACACGAGTATCTGTACTTCTACTTGAATAAAGAAGTTTAGTCAGTACTTCTACTTTCACCAGAGTATTTTTAAACACGAGTATCTGTACTTCTACTTGAGGAAAGGATGTGTGTACTTTGGCCCTCTCTGGTCACAAATAAAGTGAGAAAGATCCTATAAATAATAATGCAGATAATTGCACCATGAAACCATGCATTAAAATACCAGAATCAGAAACAGGTTTATCACGAGGTGAGTGGACACGTACGAGGAATTTGACTTGGTGTCGTGGTACATACATAAACGTAAAACAACAATTAATAAGACAGATAGAAAACTATTTTAAGAAAAACTATAATAACGTAAAAAATATAGTCAAATAAAGCAGTATTTACATTGATCTATAGAATATTAAAACTTATCAGGATAACATTAATATTACAATTCATTTCAACAAAAACTCAAGTTACGGTCACGTTAATGTTGAGAAGACTGCTTGCTCAATATCCATTTTTTAATTGTAGATATGTGTATATTTAACGGCCATAAATGCAGAAGCAGATTGTGCAAAGGCATGAGACGTGAAATGTTTGTTGGAAAACGTTCTTAGGGTCCAAGTTTGCACATCAGGGACGGCAGATTGGAGATCATGCTGAACGAAGTCCATCAAAGTGAGATATAAAGGCAACATTGGGTGTTTACTTTCATGTTACAAGGCTGCATGCACATGAGAATATAAGTCGAACTTTCATCATTACGAGCAATGTAAACAGCTTAGAAAAAGGGCAAACAAGTTAAATAAATTGTGCATTTAAACACAATCACTGCCAAAATCAGAGTTATTGTGTCAACATGTAAAGTAGACCCTCATTAGAGCTGCAGAATGAATGAAACAGCTGTCTTAATAAGCTAAGAAACACCAAGTGAAACCAGCTTTATGTGTGAAGTCTTAAACAGCGCTCTGTACGTCTGTCATATCGACCTCTGAAAAGTCCCAATCGACCAATCAGAATCAAGTATCAACTAAACCATGAACACTGAGTGGGACCATTAGAAGTGTTTATACACATTTACTGAACTACATGGATCGAACACACACACACACACACACACACACACACACACACACACACACACACACACACACACACACACACACACACACACACACACACACACACACACACACACACACACACACACACACACACACACACACACACCACACACACACACACACACACACACACACACACACACACACACACACACACACACACACACACACACACACACACACACACACACACACACACACACACACACACACATTTCCTTTGACACCCCACCACCCCCTCTTTTCTATCTGCTGGCCTTACGTCTGACTCACTGTCGTAGCAACAGAAAAACACAAATCCTGAGTTTCCTCATCAGACGGAGAACAGGGACACCTACTACGTAAAAGAAACCTGACCTGAGTGAGAAAGTGGAAAATCAGGGGTGTGAACAGCCGTGAGGAGGAAACTCCCCTAAAAACATGCCCTAGAAATATTCATTTTTCACTCAGGAAGGTTACGAATGGAATAAAATAATCTGGGAAGTGGCAGACATACTTTAAGGTGTATATCAGTATGTAGTGTCTCTACTTTAAAGAGTCCTCTCCTGCTGATGTTCAGGTGTATATCAGTATGTAGTGTCTCTACTTTAAAGAGTCCTCTCCTGCTGATGTTCAGGTGTATATCAGTATGTAGTGTCTCTACTTTAAAGAGTCCTCTCCTGCTGATGTTCAGGTGTATATCAGTATGTAGTGTCTCTACTTTAAAGAGTCCTCTCCTGCTGATGTTCAGGTGTATATCAGTATGTAGTGTCTCTACTTTAAAGAGTCCTCTCCTGCTGATGTTCAGGTGTATATCAGTATGTAGTGTCTCTACTTTAAAGAGTCCTCTCCAGCTGATGTTCAGGTGTATATCAGTATGTAGTGTCTCTACTTTAAAGAGTCCTCTCCTGCTGATGTTCAGGTGTATATCAGTACGTAGTGTCTCTACTTTAAAGAGTCCTCACTGATGTCATGCTTAGTTTCTGGGCTCCACACACACACATCTCCTTTGACTCCCAAAATGTGACTTTAATGTGAGAATACTACCATATATTTTGACACCTTGTGAACGGCCCATGGGAGAAATAACATTTACCATCATCTGCACTGGGCAGCATTACAACATGTGACAGGTACTAAGTACTTTCCTGTGTATTTAGTGATGTCATGGTTAGTTCTTTGGGCAAGAAAAACACAAAAATAGTGTCAAATTTCTCCCCTCACATTTTTTAAAGAGGCCCTGTTTCAGTTTGTTGAGGTGTTTCCTCTCCTGTCGTGGTGCTATAGGTTTTAGTGCATGTAAATGGTCTGCAAAGGGTAAAATCCCTGTAAATATAAAGAGCTTTTTGAACATCATATTACATTTTAATAAAATCTTAAATTAAATAGTAGAGCATTTTCTTTTAAAAAAATGGAAAGAAACAAAAACTTAATCAAGCTGTTGTTTTTTTGTGATATTCACTTTTTTTTTTTTTTAAATAATGTAAAACTTAAAGTTGTTTTGTTTTCCCCAAAACATTAATCTCTATCTGGCCGAGGAAAATGTTGAGTTTCCAGAAACAATAAGCTAAAAATAAGCTTGTAATAATAGTCAAATCTTCACTAAAGCACATTTTTCCTGACAGTTTAATAAAGAAGAAGTGGTTTTCTCAGATGATTCATATTACTGGAGGTCAGACTGAAGGTCATGTGACTCACCGTGAGTCGAGGAGTTGGAGGGTGGGGTCCTCTTCACTTCCTGTTGCTCTTCTTCATCGGTGCTTCCTCCGTATTCGTCCTCTTCCTCATCATCGGCTGATTTGACTGCATCCTGCTGTTTCTGTTCCTTAGAACTGAAACAGAGAATTATGAAACATAACGAGGTCAAACATCACCATCAAACCGTCACTCTCTCATGGCCTGAGACGGCTGAGTCAGAGAGGTGCAGTCATCACAGGCATCAGAAAGTCTTGAGCAACTAGAATAGTTAAAGTACATTTCGATTAAATACAAATAAAAAATTGTAAAAAATGTGCATTTATTAAAAAAAGAAAATGGTTAGTTTCATATTTTTACTTATACAATTTTTTTTTTGTGATATCTTTTAACTGCAGATTTTCAGTTTAATTCCTTATGCTCAAATACGTATTTAATTATATTTTAATGCAGTATTTTACTTTACTTATGTTTATTTGTATATATAATTACATTTTATTTTATAAACATTTTTTAATGTTAATATGAACATTTTATTCTATTTGAATGCAATTTTTGACTTAAAGGGGACCTATTATGCAAAATCCTCTTCTACATCAACATGTGTCCCCTCTTCTTCATGTCTCTTCTACATCAACATGTGTCCCCTCTTCTTCATGTCTCTTCTACATCAACATGTGTCCCCTCTTCTTCATGTCTCTTCTACATCAACATGTGTCCCTCTTCTTCATGTCTCTTCTACATCAACATGTGTCCCCTCTTCTTCATGTCTCTTCTACATCAACATGTGTCCCCTCTTCTTCATGTCTCTTCTACATCAACATGTGTCCCCTCTTCTTCATGTCTCTTCTACATCAACATGTGTCCCCTCTTCTTCATGTCTCTTCTACATCAACATGTGTCCCCTCTTCTTCATGTCTCTTCTACATCAACATGTGTCCCCTCTTCTTCATGTCTCTTCTACATCAACATGTGTCCCCTCTTCTTCATGTCTCTTCTACATCAACATGTGGTCCCCCTCTTCTTCATGTCTCTTCTACATCAACATGTGTCCCCTCTTTCTTCATGTCTCTTCTACATCTACAGTGGTCCCCTCTTCTTCATGTCTCTTCTACATCAACATGTGTCCCCTCTTCTTCATGTCTCTTCTTCATCAACATGTGTCCCCTCTTCTTCATGTCTCTTCTACATCAACATGTGTCCCCCTCTTCTTCATGTCTCTTCTTCATCAACATGTGTCCCCTCTTCTTCATGTCTCTTCTACATCAACATGTGTCCCCTCTTCTTCATGTCTCTTCTACATCAGCATGTGTCCCCTCATTCTTCATGTCTCTTCTACATCACCATGTGTCCCCTCTTCTTCATGTCTCTTCTACATCAACATGTGTCCCCTCTTCTTCATGTCTCTTCTACATCAAGCATGTGTCCCCGTCTTCTTCATGTCTCTTCTACATCAACATGTGTCCCATCTTCTCCATGTCTCTTCTACATCAACATGTGTCCCCTCTTCTTCATGTCTCTTCTACATCAACATGTGTCCCCTCTTCTTCATGTCTCTTCTACATCAACATGTGTCCCCCTCTTCTTCATGTCTCTTCTACATCAGCATGTGTCCCCTCTTCTTCATGTCTCTTCTACATCAACATGTGTCCCCTCTTCTTCATGTCTCTTCTACATCAACATGTGTCCCCTCTTCTTCATGTCTCTTCTTCATCAACATGTGTCCCCTCTTCTCCATGTCTCTTCTACATCAACATGTGTCCCCTCTTCTTCATGTCTCTTCTACATCAACATGTGTCCCCTCTTCTTCATGTCTCTTCTTCATCAACATGTGTCCCCTCTTCTTCATGTCTCTTCTACATCAACATGTGTCCCCTCTTCTCCATGTCTCTTCTTCATCAACATGTGTCCCCTCTTCTTCATGTCTCTTCTACATCAACATGTGTCCCCTCTTCTTCATGTCTCTTCTTCATCAACATGTGTCCCCTCTTCTTCATGTCTCTTCTACATCAACATGTGTCCCCTCTTCTTCATGTCTCTTCTACATCAACATGTGTCCCCTCTTCTTCATGTCTCTTCTTCATTAACATGTGTCCCCTCTTCTTCATGTCTCTTCTACATCAACATGTGTCCCCTCTTCTTCATGTCTCTTCTTCATCAACATGTGTCCCCTCATCTTCATGTCTCTTCTACATCAACATGTGTCCCCTCTTCTTCATGTCTCTTCTACATCAACATGTGTCCCCTCTTCTTCATGTCTCTTCTACATCAACATGTGTCCCCTCTTCTTCATGTCTCTTCTACATCAACATGTGTCCCCTCTTCTTCATGTCTCTTCTACATCAACATGTGTCCCCTCTTCTTCATGTCTCTTCTACATCAGCATGTGTCCCCTCTTCTTCATGTCTCTTCTACATCAACATGTGTCCCCTCTTCTTCATGTCTCTTCTTCATCAACATGTGTCCCCTCTTCTCCATGTCTCTTCTACATCAACATGTGTCCCTCTTCTTCATGTCTCTTCTACATCAACATGTGTCCCCTCTTCTTCATGTCTCTTCTTCATCAACATGTGTCCCCTCTTCTTCATGTCTCTTCTTCATCAACATGTGTCCCCTCTTCTTCATGTCTCTTCTACATCAACATGTGTCCCCTCTTCTTCATGTCTCTTCTTCATCAACATGTGTCCCCTCTTCTTCATGTCTCTTCTACATCAACATGTGTCCCCCTCTTCTTCATGTCTCTTCTACATCAACATGTGTCCCCTCTTCTTCATGTCTCTTCTTCATTAACATGTGTCCCCTCTTCTTCATGTCTCTTCTACATCAACATGTGTCCCCTCTTCTTCATGTCTCTTCTACATCAACATGTGTCCCCTCTTCTTCATGTCTCTTCTACATCAACATGTGTCCCCTCTTCTTCATGTCTCTTCTACATCAACATGTGTCCCCTCTTCTTCATGTTTCTTCTACATCAACATGTGTCCCCTCTTCTTCATGTCTCTTCTACATCAACATGTGTCCCCTCTTCTTCATGTCTCTTCTGCATCAACATGTGTCCCCTCTTCTTCATGTCTCTTCTACATCAACATGTGTCCCCTCTTCTTCATGTCTCTTCTACATCAACATGTGTCCCCTCTTCTTCATGTCTCTTCTACATCAACATGTGTCCCCTCTTCTTCATGTCTCTTCTACATCAACATGTGTCCCCTCTTCTTCATGTCTCTTCTACATCAACATGTGTCCCCTCTTCTTCATGTCTCTTCTTCATCAACATGTGTCCCCTCTTCTTCATGTCTCTTCTACATCAACATGTGTCCCCTCTTCTTCATGTCTCTTCTTCATCAACATGTGTCCCCTCTTCTTCATGTCTCTTCTTCATCAACATGTGTCCCCTCTTCTTCATGTCTCTTCTACATCAACATGTGTCCCCTCTTCTTCATGTCTCTTCTACATCAACATGTGTCCCCTCTTCTTCATGTCTCTTCTACATCAACATGTGTCCCCTCTTCTTCATGTCTCTTCTACATCAACATGTGTCCCCTCTTCTTCATGTCTCTTCTTCATCAACATGTGTCCCCTCTGTGGAAAGAGACTCTGAAAGTTTCAGGAACAAAGATTCTCTCTCTTTTTGATCCATTTTTATAAAAACCTGTCTGAAAATGAGCTGATCAGATTTTGGCCACTTGATGATGTCATAACGATGTGTTGTCTTGTGTAACCATTAGCCAATCAGCAATCAAGGTAACCCCCCCCCCCCCCCACCTTATCACCTGAATCTCCTCCTAGAGCACCATTGAGTTCTTTGTAACCAAATGTCTCTCAGAGGGGCGTGGGGAGGGGCTCCTTATTTTCATCTAAAGTAACAGACAGAGAATCAGCACTTTGGAAACAGGGCTGAAACAGAGGGGATTATGGGTAATGCTGCAATTTGGTGTTTCAGCCAATCAGAGACAGGCTCTGGATATATCTGAGACCTGTAATATATTGATGAGAAACAGTATGATAGGAGACCTTTAAAAGTATTCATGTTTTCTTCCATGTGTGTTTTTATTTCTCCACTTTTCACCTTTTTTTACAGATGAAAAACTAATGAAAAAACATATTTTTCCCAAATTATTTTTTAAAGAACTTCAGGTTAAAACCTTCTTTTCATCTGTTCTTGAGTCTAAAACTAACCGGAGCTAAATTAAATAGACCGTACTGCAAAAGATACATACTAGATTTCTCTCACTGTCCCCTCAGGGCTTCCGTAGAAAGTGATGAAGCTGACGTTTCAAGTTTGAACGTTCATGTGCTCAGCAGCTAAATTGTAGATATGGCAATGAACAACTGAAGTCCCAGGCTCCTCCAATGTTCTTTAAAAAGTTCAGGTGTGTTTCAGAGAGCGAGGGGTTAAATGGAGCAGCAGGTAAACAGTGATCTACCTGTCGCCCTGCAGGTGAGTGACAGCTTCCTGAAGGCTGCGGATCTTTGCTTTCTTCTCGTTCACGACCAAAACAAAACGGGAGTACAGCTCTGCCTCCAGGGACGCCTTACCACCCGCATAGCGCTTCAGTCTACACACACACACACACACACACACACACACACACACACACACACACACACACACACACACACACACACACACACACACACACACACACACACACACACACACACACACACACACACACACACACACACACACACACACACACACACACACACACACACACACACACACACACACACACACACACACACACACACACACACACACACACACACACACACACACACACACACACACACACACACACACACACACAACATCTGGGGTCAAATATCTTCTTCACACAGAGACAAACTGTGTGTTATGTTCTGTGTATTTACTCTGCAGAGATGCGCTGGTGTTCTCCTCTCATCTTGAGGTTCTCCTCCTTCAGGTTCTGGTTCTCCTCCTTCAGGTGGTTCCCTCTCTGCAGACTGTGCGTCAACAACTCTCTCAGCGCCTCGGCTGGATCCGGGTCGGCCTTCAGAACCGCAGAACCCAACCTGAACTGAGAGGAGGGAGAACAAAGTTTCAATACAGTCTCCATGTTTCCATCAGTATGTAGTGTCTCTACTTTAAAGAGTCCTCTCCTGCTGATGTTCAGGTGTATATCAGTACGTAGTGTCTCTACTTTAAAGAGTCCTCTCCTGCTGATGTTCAGGTGTATATCCGTATGTAGTGTCTCTACTTTAAAGAGTCCTCTCCTGCTGATGTTCAGGTGTATATCAGTATGTAGTGTCTCTACTTTAAAGAGTCCTCTCCTGCTGATGTTCAGGTGTATATCAGTATGTAGTGTCTCTACTTTAAAGAGTCCTCTCCTGCTGATGTTCAGGTGTATATCAGTTTGTAGTGTCTCTACTTTAAAGAGTCCTCTCCTGCTGATGTTCAGGTGTATATCAGTATGTAGTGTCTCTACTTTAAAGAGTCCTCTCCTGCTGATGTTCAGGTGTATATCAGTATGTAGTGTCTCTACTTTAAAGAGTCCTCTCCTGCTGATGTTCAGGTGTATATCAGTATGTAGTGTCTCTACTTTAAAGAGTCCTCTCCTGCTGATGTTCAGGTGTATATCAGTATGTAGTGTCTCTACTTTAAAGAGTCCTCTCCTGCTGATGTTCAGGTGTATATCAGTATGTAGTGTCTCTACTTTAAAGAGTCCTCTCCTGCTGATGTTCAGGTGTATATCAGTATGTAGTGTCTCTACTTTAAAGAGTCCTCTCCTGCTGATGTTCAGGTGTATATCAGTATGTAGTGTCTCTACTTTAAAGAGTCCTTTCCTGCTGATGTTCAGGTGTATATCAGTATGTAGTGTCTCTACTTTAAAGAGTCCTCTCCTACTGATGTTCAGATGTATATCAGTATGTAGTGTCTCTACTTTAAAGAGTCCTATTTATTTCTTTAACACTTTCTCTGTTAAATCTGCTTATTTAAAAAGTGTCTTACTTCACCACCTCTCAGAGAAGTTAAATAAATAACCTCAGAAATGGAAACAGTTCTTCTGGCAAACCCTTCCTGGTGTTGCCTCATAGTTTCTTTACTCAGTTTGCATTACGCTCCGTACCAGAAACTAAAGAAAACAGCCGACTGCTCACATTAAAACATGATCGAATGACAAACCACAACCAACCAGTGATTATCAGAGAATAATCCCAGATCATTTGATAATCAAAAATTGGTAAAAGAACATTTTGATGCAAACATGTCCGACAAATATAGAGATTTCCAGCTTATTTCTGTGTTAAAATCAAATTAAAGTGGATATTTGGGGGTTTTTGACTAACAATCATAGCCTCTGAGGAACTGGGATGATCATTTTTGACTTTTCTCTGACATAAAAAGACCAGACGATTAATCTAGAAAGAAAAATAATGATTAGTCGCAGCTTGAACCAACTTTTGGAACCAACAGGTTTCTTATTTGAGCTGAAAATCCTTAGAGTTACAGAGAACATGCCGACAAGATGCATCACACACACATCCAAATACACGTCTGGTATGCTAACACTGCAGGTAACAGCTGTGTGTGTGTGTGTGTGTGTGTGTGTGTGTGTGTGTGGGTGTGGGTGTGTGTGGTGTGTGTGTGTGTGTGTGTGTGTGTGTGTGTGTGTGTGTGTGTGTGTGTGTGTGTGTGTGTGTTTTGCAGCTGTAAGGGAAGCAGCTATTAGAGGGGCCACCGACCATGCATTGGACTGAAGCCTTTCATTATGACTCATAACTGTAAGATGGATGAATTACTGCTTTGTGTATTTTTAAGTTGAGCAAGAGATGACACATGGTCGACACACTTCTGCAAAATCCACCGTTTCTAACTCTCGTTTATGTTTAAAACAGAAGCATCGATTCATTTCCTTTTCATTGCAACACACACTCAGATTTCCATCCTGTCATAAGTACCATAGCAACACGGTTTTGTTTTTAAGTTATGAAGGAGTGTGTGCTCTCAACTGAACCCTGAACAGGGATTCTTCAGGCAATAGCTGAACTTTATCATACTGGTCCCACTAATGTATATCAGTATGTAGTGTCTCTACTTTAAAGAGTCCTCTCCTGATGATGATCAGGTGTATATCAGTATGTAGTGTCTCTACTTTAAAGAGTCCTCTCCTGCTGATGTTCAGGTGTATATCAGTATGTAGTGTCTCTACTTTAAAGAGTCCTCTCCTGCTGATGTTCAGGTGTATATCAGTATGTAGTGTCTCTACTTTAAAGAGTCCTCTCCTGCTGATGTTCAGGTGTATATCAGTATGTAGTGTCTCTACTTTAAAGAGTCCTCTTCTGCTGATGTTCAGGTGTATATCAGTATGTAGTGTCTCTACTTTAAAGAGTCCTCTCCTGCTGATGTTCAGGTGTATATCAGTATGTAGTGTCTCTACTTTAAAGAGTCCTCTCCTGCTGATGTTCAGGTGTATATCAGTATGTAGTGTCTCTACTTTAAAGAGTCCTCTCCTGCTGATGTTCAGGTGTATATCAGTATGTAGTGTCTCTACTTTAAAGAGTTCTCTCCTGCTGATGTTCAGGTGTATATCAGTATGTAGTGTCTCTACTTTAAAGAGTCCTCTCCTGCTGATGTTCAGGTGTATATCAGTATGTAGTGTCTCTACTTTAAAGAGTCCTCTCCTGCTGATGTTCAGGTGTATATCAGTATGTAGTGTCTCTACTTTAAAGAGTCCTCTCCTGCTGATGTTCAGGTGTATATCAGTATGTAGTGTCTCTACTTTAAAGAGTCCTCTCCTGCTGATGTTCAGGTGTATATCAGTAGGTAGTGTCTCTACTTTAAAGAGTCCTCTCCTGCTGATGTTCAGGTGTATATCAGTAGGTAGTGTCTCTACTTTAAAGAGTCCTCTCCTGTTGATGTTCAGGTGTATATCAGTATGTAGTGTCTCTACTTTAAAGAGTCCTCTCCTGCTGATGTTCAGGTGTATATCAGTATGTAGTGTCTCTACTTTAAAGAGTCCTCTCCTGCTGATGTTCAGGTGTATATCAGTATGTAGTGTCTCTACTTTAAAGAGTCCTCTCCTGCTGATGTTCAGGTGTATATCAGTAGGTAGTGTCTCTACTTTAAAGAGTCCTCTCCTGTTGATGTTCAGGTGTATATCAGTATGTAGTGTCTCTACTTTAAAGAGTCCTCTCCTGCTGATGTTCAGGTGTATATCAGTATGTAGTGTCTCTACTTTAAAGAGTCCTCTCCTGCTGATGTTCAGGTGTATATCAGTATATATGTATGTATATAAAACGCTGACTCATTCCCTAGTTTTAAGACTCATTCCTTGGAAGAGTGTTTGAGACTCACAGAGATGTCCTTCTGAACCTTCTCGTAGGCCAGCGTGAGGGTGGAGGTGTGTTTGGGGGGCGACGGCGTCAGATTGAAGCTGAAGGAGCTTGTGGTGTCGGTCAGCGCCTGATGGAGGTCCTGAACGTATCGCTCCATCTGCATCTCCAACTCCTCCGCCTCCGCACACACCGAGGCCTCGCTCACTGCGGAGACACACGGAGGAAACGTTGGGCAGAGATGGCAAAAGTACACACATCCTTTACTCAAGTAGAAGTACAGATACTCGTGTTTAAAAATACTCTGGTGAAAGTAGAAGTACTGACTAAACTTCTTCACTCAAGTCAAAGTAAAGAGGCTTTGAAATGTACTTCAGTAAAAAGTACCCATAACTAGCAGCTGTTTTAAAGAGTACCTGACCTCCCTTTATATGAATAGAACAATAATGTCATTGTTAGCTAATGAATGTTTCCATGCTGAACAACGGCAACATGACAACGTTTTCATTGGTCCCTCTTCTTTAGAGAAGACCAGGAAATGATGGATACACGGATCGTGTTCAAATCAATAGGCACGCAATGACTCTAAATAATAATGATCACGCCACCAAACACACATTCAAACTAAAGGAACCAGCCTGTTTGGGAAATGTGAGAAGTAGAAAGTACAGGTATTTGGGTTCAACATGTAAGAAGTAGAAAGTACAGGTATTTGTGTTCAACATGTAAGAAGTAGAAAGTACAGGTATTTGGGTTCAACATGTAAGAAGTAGAAAGTACAGGTATTTGTGTTCAACATGTAAGAAGTAGAAAGTACAGGTATTTGTGTTCAACATGTAAGAAGTAGAAAGTACAGGTATTTGTGTTCAACATGTAAGAAGTAGAAAGTACAGGTATTTGTGTTCTAAATGTAAGAAGTAGAAAGTACAGGTATTTGTGTTCAACATGTAAGAAGTAGAAAGTACAGGTATTTGTGTTCAACATGTAAGAAGTAGAAAGTACAGGTATTTGTGTTCAACATGTAAGAAGTAGAAAGTACAGGTATTTGTGTTCAACATGTAAGAAGTAGAAAGTACAGGTATTTGTGTTCAACATGTAAGAAGTAGAAAGTACAGGTATTTGTGTTCAACATGTAAGAAGTAGAAAGTACAGGTATTTGTGTTCAACCTGTAAGAAGTAGAAAGTACAGGTATTTGTGTTCAACATGTGAGAAGTAGAAAGTACAGGTATTTGTGTTCTAAATGTAAGAAGTAGAAAGTACAGGTATTTGTGTTCAACATGTAAGAAGTCAAAGTAAAAAGTCGTCAGAAAAACTAGTAGTGGAGTAAAGTACTGATACCAGAAAAATGTACTTAAGTACAGTAATGAAGTATTTGTGAAAATTAATTATTATTAACTAAAAAAAGAATTGTTATGAATGAATAAATAAGTACAATTAAGCAGGTGTTTAAGGAAAATACATATATATTTTAGATGCCATTATTTACTTTATTAAATACCTAAAAGTGGACACAGATGGGACTCGAACCGCCCGTTTGAACTGCCAAGGCGTCAAATAATGGAAAGTCTGAATATCTGCAGCTTCAGAGCGTTGGAGGTGAAGCTCATAAAACGTTTCCAGTGAGTGAAGCTGTCCGAGCAGTTGAAGAGGTCAACGACGCTGTAAAATGTTCCCAGGTGAGGTCAGAAAGGTGTGTGTGTGTGTGTGTGTGTGTGTGTGTGTGTGTGTGTGTGTGTGTGTGTGTGTGTGTGTGTGTGTGTGTGTGTGTGTGTGTGTGTGTGTGTGTGTGTGTGTGTGTGTGTGTGTGTGTGTGTGTGTGTGTGTGTGTGTGTGTGTGTGTGTGTGTGTGTAGAGGTCAGTCTAGGTGAGATGATTTTGTTTTTTTACCGTCTCCTCTCCAGGCGTCCTGTCCGTCAGTCAGCAGCAGCTGGAAGCCGGACTCTAAGCCCCGCCCCTTCCAGGCCACCCGCAGGAAGTAGGCGGAGTCAGGCTCAGACGGGATGCAAACCTCACGCACCGACACGTGCATCCTGAAACACACACACACACACACACACACACACGAGCAGTATGGGTCATATTAATGTTAGGGCACATTAAGCAGAATTGTTACTGGGTTGAAATTCAGAAATGCATCAATAAGCGTTAGAATCAGATTAGATCGAGGCTAACACTCCTTTACATTTTAAAGGTTGTGTGTGTGTGTGTGTGTGTGTGTGTGTGTGTGTGTGTGTGTGTGTGTGTGTGTGTGTGTGTGTGTGTGTGTAAGAAATACTAACATTACAATAAAGATAATATGATATATGAGTGACAAGATAATAGTCATTTATTCAAAATATACATTTAAAAAATAAGATTCCAATCATACAAATAAGAAATATTATAGACATATATATGTATAATGATAATGTCAGTAATAATAGTAATGATAATAACAATAATAACAACAGCAGAAACCCATGGCTTTAGAAGTGGAGGTTGTTTGGTGTGTGTACTGGTTTATTTGCACCCTGAACATCTTCTCTCTGAATATTCCTACAGCATTTATTTATTTGTATTCTTACTTACACTACAGTATTGTAATGTCTGTGTTTAACTTCAAGTCACTTTGTTTTGAAAGTGGTGCAGACATGAGGATTTTTAAAATGGTCTTCAACATATATACATTTAGATCAGGGCTGTCCAAACTTTTTTCACCGAGGGCCACATACAGAAAAATATACGAAGGGCTGGGCCGCTCACTAGAGGAGAGGTTTATTGCCTCATAAGTTCAGTTATAAGTCGGCAAAATCAATCAAATGTAGGTTAATGATGCTTAATCAGCGTACATCACAGCTTCCCATTATTTTGTTGGCAGCTCATTCCTTAAAACAGAAGATTGCTGATAATAAGAGGAAATATGAAGGGTGTATTTCAAGCTTGTTATGTAAATAAGTTATTGAGCTTTTTCTTATCAACTCAGCAGTGGCGGCCGGCCCATAGGGGCGCTAGGGGCGCCGCCCCCCCTCTTCCCACATTAAAAATAAAAAAAATAAAAAAATATATATTTAAAAAATATATTTTTTATTTTTATTTTTATTTTTAATAAACAAGGTAAATATTATATAATTGGTATCAGTAAAATGTATAATCTACAATAAAATCTCGTTTAAAATTGTGTTACGATGTCTAAAGTTACTGATAAGTCACATGTTTCCTGCCTGGCCTTGCCCGTGTATCATTACTCCCTCTCGTCTGGGCGCTATGCACAGCGCCCGGACGAGAGTGCAGCAAGTGCAGCAGAAGCCACCTGTTGCTATCTTTAAACTATGCCGCCGAAACATAATTTCAGCCAATCAGCGTCGTCAAATCTGATGGTCACAGGGCTCCTACGTGAGCGCCCGGTGCAGTCTGTGAGTTGTTTGGACTCGTATCCAAGGAGACAAAACAGGAAGCTGTCATACACTCTGGAAGCTACCATTAGCAGCTAATGAAAACTCTGTTTTTGACATAAAAATGGAATTATGGATCATCAATCATTTTTCAAAGTGACACACACATTGGATTAACCTATGGATTAACCTTCAGCTGCGTTTTTCTTGTTTTTGATCAGAATTGTTATTCTGCAAAAGGTGAGCATATCTCCGTGTTTTGCTACCTAAAGCTACGTCGTGTGATGTCTGTATTTGCTTCCCCTGTCGCGAGTTCTGATCGCTCAGTGATGATACTTATATTTGTAGAATCTGGAATCTCAGCTTGTTAGCACAGTTTATGCTGTAGAAACTATGTCCAGGACAAGGTGTTTGGAAGTTTTGGAAGATTCATAGCTAACCACACTGAAGTTTTGGAGGTATTGATCAGTCTTCTCATATTTTTAAGCCTCAAATTGTCCTCCCCCCCCCCCCCCCCCCCCTCTAACATCACCAGAAGTCATAATGTAGGGGGTCTTTTCTCAAAAAAATGCCACAGCCCCACCTAAAATATTTTCCACCAGCCGCCACTGCAACTCAGATATGTTAGAAAATGTTTTCAGGTTTAATTGACTGAATATATTTGAAAAGTGGGCTTATTAACACGTGAATACCACTGTATAATATCTGTTTAAGTTTCATTTAAAGGCCATACTGCATTATATATTTTTTATTTGCTGAGGGCCGATTCAAAATGGTCCACGGGCCGCATTTGGCCCCAGGGCCGTAGTTTGGACACCCCTGATTTAGAGCAATGGGACATAGGGAAAAAGCAAAAAAATATGTCTCGGTTCAAGCTTTTTTTTCAGGACATTTTTGACAAATTATACTTTGCAAAAGGCGACAAAAAAAAGCAATTTTGACTCCACTGAAGTTCTGTTTGCTCACAGCTCCTGCCGGGTTGTGTAATTGTTAAACATGGGTTCTGCGTCGGGTCGTGAAATGACCGAAGTGAAAATGATTAGTCATGCATGCTTGGTGCACCGTGTCATCAGAGGTGTGTGAGCAGAGACACACAACCTCTCATTAGCTGCAGAGAAACCTCAGTTAGCGCTGTGCTTAACGACCGGCCACAGTAGCATGCTTACACACACACACACACGTTTCATCTTTAACTACATCCTACACCGACACCTGCTTCAGCTCTAAATATATGCAGACCGTTTTAAAGACACTGTTCTCTGAGGTGCGTGAGTCTCTCTTTCATTGGATAATAACAGGATTTGACAAACACGGTGCATATCTCAACAACTTCAGGAATTAACTGAGGTTTCATTCTGCACAGTTTCATGATGCTGAGACGATGAATACTGACATCTGTTTTAACTGAACTTGTAAATTACTAAATCAATAAAAATACAATTATTATTTTTTAAATTAGATGGATTATGTCTATTAAATGTCAGAGAAACAAAGTTTACAGACAATGTGATGTGAGTATCGATCAACAGTCCACAGATAATCAGAATCACATAAAATAAAGCTTTACATTGGATTAATCTACAGAGAGGAAAATAACCTGACACTGTTTTGAGTGATGTTTCCTCCATGGACTAACTTTAACAAGAGAGAAATAAACACTTTTACTATAGGTATCTAGACTACTTCATCAAATACATGTTGCTGAGGCTTTACTGAAGTACTGCTCTGAGTGGAGGACTTTTATAATGTTGTTTTAGTACTTTTTATTAAGTAAGTTAAACTCTGACAAACCTCCCTCGTCTGCAGAATGAATGCTAGCAGCTAGCTGTTAGCATTCTGTTTGTAAACAAAGGCTCTGAAACTACAACGCGCTGTTAATAAAAGCGTAGAAGAAGACAGACTCGATCACACCTGCAGCGACAACTTAACAAGAAAAACATGTGATCTGTTTCTCTCACCTGAAGCAGTTTATCAGCTGGAAATGTTTGTTTTTTAGTTTAAAAAGAAGAGCTGTTGCGACGCTAGCTCCTACGTCATAGTCCAGCGACACACACAGCCGAACAGCTGATCGAAAAGCACATGGAGGGGAGGGGGGGGGTTCACCTACAATAGTGGTTACGGTATTATAATTATTGATGCATTCATGTATTTATTAGTTTAGTTTTGCAGCTGGTAAAGGTGAAACTTATTTTGAATGATAGACCAATATTTTTATATTGACTTTGAAAACTGCTGGGTATATTTTAATCTGTATTAGTTCCATATATGTTCCATTTCCATGCTTATTGTTTCTGCATTTTGTAATATAATGCACATATTTTCACATATTTATTTATCTTCGTCCTATGAATTATTTAAGGATATATATCAATGTTTTATGTCATACTTCCATACTCACCGTAGCTGTATATTGTATTATCCACATGTGTTTACATTATCGGACGAGAAGAAGCACGTTAAAGTTGAAATATAATCTTCTTTCGTCCCTCATCGTGTTGTTTTGGTTTCTTCGTCACAGAGGAGAGAGGAAATTAAACATTAATGGGATTACTGTGAGATCTGCAAACAGAGACTCTCCAAGAACAACGGTGAGAAAGAGAAACAACAATAAACTTTTCTTTCTTGTTTTGTTTGCTCAAAGGTTTAAATTGATCCCTTCCTGTTTATCTTTGAGTTTTTCTCATCATGCAGTTTTTAAATTGATCAGAAACGACTTGAGACACTAAATACTGATGAACACCTGAACATCAGCAGGAGAGGACTCTTTAAAGTAGAGACACTACATACTGATATACACCTGAACATCAGCAGGAGAGGACTCTTTAAAGTAGAGACACTACATACTGATATACACCTGAACACCAGCAGGAGAGGACTCTTTAAAGTAGAGACACTACATACTGATATACACCTGAACATCAGCAGGAGAGGACTCTTTAAAGTAGAGACACTACATACTGATATACACCTGAACATCAGCAGGAGAGGACTCTTTAAAGTAGAGACACTACATACTGATATACACCTGAACATCAGCAGGAGAGGACTCTTTAAAGTAGAGACACTACATACTGATATACACCTGAACATCAGCAGGAGAGGACTCTTTAAAGTAGAGACACTACATACTGATATACACCTGAACACCAGCAGGAGAGGACTCTTTAAAGTAGAGACACTACATACTGATATACACCTGAACATCAGCAGGAGAGGACTCTTTAAAGTAGAGACACTACATACTGATATACACCTGAACATCAGCAGGAGAGGACTCTTTAAGTAGAGACACTACATACTGATATACACCTGAACATCAGCAGGAGAGGACTCTTTAAAGTAGAGACACTACATACTGATATACACCTGCACAACAGCAGGAGAGGACTCTTTAAAGTAGAGACACTACATACTGATATACACCTGAACATCAGCAGGAGAGGACTCTTTAAAGTAGAGACACTACATACTGATATACACCTGAACATCAGCAGGAGAGGACTCTTTAAAGTAGAGACACTACATACTGATATACACCTGAACATCAGCAGGAGAGGACTCTTTAAAGTAGAGACACCACATACTGATATACACCTGAACATCAGCAGGAGAGGACTCTTTAAAGTAGAGACACTACATACTGATATACACCTGAACATCAGCAGGAGAGGACTCTTTAAAGTAGAGACACTACATACTGATAAACACCTGAACATCAGCAGGAGAGGACTCTTTAAGTAGAGACACTACATACTGATAAACACCTGAACATCAGCAGGAGAGGACTCTTTAAAGTAGAGACACTACATACTGATAAACACCTGAACATCAGCAGGAGAGGACTCTTAAAGTAGAGACACTACATACTGATATAACACCTGAACATCAGCAGGAGAGACTCTTTAAGTAGAGACACTACATACTGATAAACACCTGAACATCAGCAGGAGAGGACTCTTTAAAGTAGAGACACTACATACTGATATACACCTGAATATCAGCAGGAGAGGACTCTTTAAAGTAGAGACACTACATACTGATATACACCTGAACATCAGCAGGAGAGGACTCTTTAAAGTAGAGACACTACATACTGCATTAAAAAACGGTGTCCGTTATTAATTAGTTCTGATTTACTGTCAGGTTGCATTCGAATAGTCCATTTAGCTTAGGAACCTTCCTCACGGAGTGAAATGACCCGGAAGTCCCTCAGTGGCAGCCATGATAAGTGCCGTTCGAATTCTCTAAATTAAAAGGAAAGGAGGTTTCAAACTTCCTTTATAACCTCCTTTAGCTTAGGAACCACTGGACCTCCCTAACCTAAAGGAGAGGAGAAAATGCTGCCCCACAATGCCTTGCGGCCGCAGCATTTGCCGTCACACAACAGTCGGCTGTTCACGGAAACAACCGATTATGAACGAGAAATGATATCATGAAAGTTACGGTGCTTATTAAGCATTTCAAAACGTATGTGGTAAGTTGCCAAAGTGCTTTGTTTTGAACGTTCATCAGTATTATAATCTAAAAGAGAAATATGAACGTTAGTTTTTACTGAAATGATCAAATAAAGTCAACATTTCACAGTCTTTACTGAGCTGTGTGGGGTTTGTTCAACTTTTAAAAGATGTTTGAATGGTGATATACACAGTGATAGATGTTCAGGACTAACGTTTATAATAAATACATTTGTATTGATTTTAACATCTTTTCATACAATCATACGTATTGGGATCATTTGTATTAATGTGGACCGGAGGGAGAGGGTGATGAGCATAAGTTTCACTTTCCTTTATTATTTCAATTCCAACTTTGGTCATGAAGAATATGTTTCTCTGTTGTCCCCGTTCATAAAGCATAACAGCATCAGAGCACGGTGCAGAGTCTCTAGATGAGTTTACAGTAGTCCCTCGTTCTTATTAAACATCCATGTTGTAGTCCGCTGTATAGAAAACTGTAGTTTCCATAGTTTCCCCACAGCAGCAGACGCACATTTATGACGTCCGCTGGCGCATCATAAACACGTCGGATAGTGAAAGTGCAGTCGGAGGGTGTTTCTCAATCGCGAGTAAAGCTGCTTCAGAGCCACTATTTCAAGCATACTACGTCATCGAGTGCCGCTGAAGTACTGTTCCAATCTCCAGCATACTTGGAAATCTACCGAGCCCGGCGTACTCCGTTTGGAGAAATATCGAGGCTGCACATGAGTAGACTCCGCGTCCTTAAAATCCCCACAATGCTTTGCGCACGGACCAATTTCCCCAAATCTGTGGTCGGAAGATGTAAGGAGGCGGGGCCTCTCATATGACGCACACCTGCACACTTGCTAGCCTGTTCCACTCTTTGTTTTCCGAATGGCAGGAAGTATTCTTGACTCGCTTCTGAAGCAAGATGCTCGGCAGACATGTGCTACCAAGCAAGCGTACTCGCGATTGAGAAACACCCGGATTCTCTAAAGCACCGCAGTCTCTTCTCCTAAGTCCTTTTGAATTCTCCTATCCACTATTCCTTAACCCCGTGACGTTTCACACAGAGGTCAAGGACTAGACGATAGGAGCTGATTTTTGGACTCCCCTCAATCACACACTCTGTCTTCCAGACGTCTGAGTAAACACGTCTCTGCTGTCTCTACTTTCTGTTTTAATTCATCAGATTGTTTCTATAATGTTGGAGAAAGCTGGGCCTGGAAACAGATTGTTACATTTGGCTTTACATCTGAATGTAATGTGCAACATCTCTGAGAAACAAAGCTCTTTTCTTCTACACTGATGTAGCTGCTGGATTTTTGTCAAACTGCTTTGGTATTCGTGGAAATGTTCTTTATATTGGATGAGAGAAGCTTTGTTACTCAAGATGTGATGGGTTTCTGCTTTATAATGTCTTTAGTTTCCTCATGCCAGATATACACAACAGGCTACAAAAAGGGAACACAATGACCAGATAGATGCAAGACATGCAAAATGACTAAAAAGATAAACAAAATGATACAAATATACACAAAAGGAATACAAATTGTACAAAATGACTTCAGATAGACACACATTGACTACAAAGACACGCATAATCACTATAAAGTGATGCAAAATGATCATAAATAGACACAAAGTGACTTAAAACGACCTCAAAGAGACGCAGAATGACCTCTGACATACAGAGAAAACCATTGTCTCATAATTCGCCCACTGCTGGAGGATAACCAGTCAGACAACAGTGAGATGTTTAAACGATGGCCAACATGATTCTGAATAAAGAGTTTATTCACAGCGATCCAGGCCTGGTGATAGAAAAGGTCTCTTTGGGTTATTTATTTAGATTGGCACATGGAGGGTGTGATTCTGGACCGGGCTGGGTGGGAGTCGAATGGGAACAGAGTCTTTAAGCTACGATAACATTTAACCTCAACTGTCCCCAGATCTCAGCTTTTATATGTTGACAGAATGTCTTAAAAGAAACTCAAATGAATACAAAGTTGAAATTCTGTAAATATATGAAACAGATATCAGGGTTTTGTCTGCACACGGTAACAGGAGCGCTTCGCCCTCATACCAAAATGCAGATTTTCCCCGTAAAATGTTAAAGTGATGCCAGAAAACAATATTGCTGTTCCTCAAACACTGTATAATTTCTCCAGAAATAAGAGAATCAAAGCTTTGTTTTTACGGAGCTCCGACGTCACGTTGTTGTTTGCGTCAGGAGACATCTTGTATACGGGCGTCATGTTCTCTTGATAATTGAGTTATCAATTTATATATCTTATAAACAAGATCAGCGCCACAGTACTCATACTATATCTTTCTAGGAAAACCCATAGCTTACATCAGCTTAAGTTTTAACATCCAACTTAATTTCCTCTTAAGTTTAACCAAGCTTGGGGTTTGTTTATCTTCCGGTTAAAAAACATTCTTCTAATGGCCACCAGAGGGCGATTGTTGCAAACAATTCTATAGAAGTCTATGAAAAGATGACCCTACTTTTAACATGATATCAGTAAATATCTAATAGTTTTAGACAAGTTATTGGTCTCAGATGCTAGTTTAAAGTAATCTTTGAAAC